AGCCTGGTGGTGCAGCAGTTAAGTCCGTGCACTCCGCTTCAGCAGCCTGGAGGTTTGCAGGTTTGGATCCCGGGTGCGCACTGACGCACTGCTTGTCAAGCCATGCTGGGGCAGCATCCCATATAAAGTAGAGGAAGATGGGCACGGATGTTAGCCCAGGGCCAGTCTTCCTCGGCAAAAAAAAAACGAGGATTGGCATCGGATGTTAGCTCAGGGCTGATCTTCCTCACCAAAAAAGACTTAATCCTGGGGGCCACCAATGTGATCACCTCCCCAGCTGCCTCAGACTGTGCTAATCTATCAGTAATCTTCCTCTTCAGGCTGGACTTGGTCTCCAAATTTTTCTCAACAGCATGCTTATGTGGAGTTGTCCCATAGGTTAAAACCTCTTTGTCATTTGTGGTGTAGGGAATAGGCCATTGAGGGGTTTTAAGTGGGGGAGTGCTGTGATCCCATTTGTGATTGGGGAAGAACACAGCGCTGACTTTAGGAGGCAGTGGGGTAGAGGGACAGCTGGAGGAAGGGGAGACCGTGGGTAGAACGCGCAGGTTTGGGGCATGATCAGGTGCAAACGGTGAGAGCAAGAGCAAGTTTACTCCATACTTCAGTGTGGAGTAAACAGGAGAATCTTAGCCCAGCGCACAACGCTGTCCCCTGGGAGAAAGAACTGGGGATGAACCATCAGAGCAGCTGTGTTTGCCAAGAGGGAGGAGACCTGGGGAGTCTGGGGCCCTAAGAGCTGTCATTTTCTGTCCTACCTATCTGTGCCTGTTCTGAAATGGGTAGAATGATACACACCCTGCGTCCTAGGAATGTCATGTCACTACTGTAAGGAAAGCTGGAGAGTTAACCCTGCCTTCCTTCTGCCAGTCTAACCTGTTCAAGCTGGCAACCTTGCCATCCCCACCCAAGAGGCAAGACGGTCCCTGGCCTCTGGGTGGGATCACTAGACCCAGAGGCCATCATATCCAACACAAGTAAAGTGCCACATCCACCTTGGCCCCACTCCCAGATGCCCTAGAATCGGGTCTTCGGGCTGTCTGGATCCCCCTGCTGCTGGGCTACCCTGGGCCCCAGGACCACACACAGACACTGTCCCGTGGAAACTGTTGGTAATGGGAGCCACTGAGAAAAACAACCACTCCCTGCCCAGTCAGCTGCCCACCGGCTGTCCGCGCCTCCCTTGGTGTCACGCAGCTGGGGGCCCAGCCCCTCATTCCTGACCAGAGAGCCAGCTGAGTCCCCGGTGCTCTCCCTCCCATCTCCCCAGCATAGAAGCAGTGGCAGTACCCAGAGAGAAGCCCCAGCAAACCGCTCATCCCTTCCAGGTCTAGGCTGAAATGACTATGCTGGAGCTCTGACATGCAGTCAGACTCCAGAGGGGCCTGAGCTTCTGGAGCCCTTCCCCCAAGTGCCCTGACATCCTGAGGCACTCTAGAGCTTGAGCAGATCAGTGGGGGCAAGATTCAGCTCTCCCCATGTACTCCATGGAGGACTGTTGACTGTTAGGTATCTGCGCAAGGGCTTGTCCCAAAGAGAAGGGGTCTTACCTACATGAGCCGAGCCCCCGCTGTCTGTACCCCCACCACAGGCCAAGACCTATCCACCAGCTAGGAGCCAGGGCAGCCGGAACAAAAGGAAGCAAAACCTGGGGAGCTCATTCTGAGAGACAGCAATTTGCTGGAGAATAAGGTACAGATTGAGTGCAGCTGTCTGAGGAGCTGGAGCAATGGGGCTTTTGCAAGCAGGCTTCCCGGAGGGAAGAGAACGGAGGGGGCGTTGTCCTAGTATGAGTGCAGGCAGCGTGCAGCATGCTCCCCCCGACCCCCGTGCTCTAAGGAGCTGCAGAGGATAGAATGAGGAGAACAGATGCTAGACAAGAGACTTGGGCTTAGGAGGGAGTCATGGAGGGTTGGAAAAGGCAAAGTTTTAGGGGCCTCGTGCACTATCTGGCGGCTGAAGGTTATGGCACCGAGGAGGCCAGCCAGGGGTCCACCCTCTCCCTGAGGAACTTCACCTGCGGCAGGGCAGCACTGGCTGAGATAAAAAACACAACTTCCTAACCATGACAGGTGTGAGATACCAGAACTCGTGACCAAAGTGGAGCATCTCAATGGAACACAGACCCTCTCCAGTGGGAGAGGAGTTGTGGGGGATCTGTAAACCTGGCTAGGATTCCAGGTGGAGTCGGCCATGGGGGAGACGTTTATGGTCTGGCTTGAAGATTTTCCACCGAGACTCATGGCCACCAGAGGGCATCACCACCCCATAGTGTGGCATCCCAGGCTCCCCATCACCTCCCTGGAGAAACTGGGGAGATTGGGAGGAGGAAGAAGGCACGGATCTCTGAGCTCTCAAGGGAGCTACCAGCAGCTGAATTAAACAGTCCCCGGAGTCAGGATCTAGTGGGTTCAAGCCTGTTTTGCCACCATCTTTCCCTCCCTGGCCTCAGTTTGCCTCCTCCATTAAATGAGGGCTTGGACCACACGGTATCGTTTCCGGACCACAAGGCCCTTTCCGGCGCTGAAATTCCAGGATTTGAGGAAACCATGCAACAACCCTGACAGAAATTGCATCTCCTGGGCCCACTCTTACCCTGGGATTCCGTGGGGTTTTCTGCCTGGCTTTACTGACTTTACTTCTCTGGTGGTGTTCTCCACTTGGAGGCAGGGAGGCAGACTCACCTGCACACTGAGGGGAAGTCGCTGCCTCCCTGTCAGCCTGAAGGAGGAATGTCCCCATAGGGCTGTCAGACACAGGTGCTGTGAAACCCGTGGCGTCTGCTTCTCCAGGTCTCAGACAAAGATGTCCATTAGGTAACCCTCTGGGATAGGTGGGGTGGTAGTCCTTCCCCAGAGAGGCTATACAAGATGCCCTTCTGCGGGTTCCTTCAGGGATAAGCACCAGAGTGAAGAGAATAGAAACCACTGCCTCTCCTGCCTCTGCTCGCCTCCCCACCCCCACCCCCACCGCCACCACAGATGCCGTCTGTCAGGAGCAGGCAGCAGAAGGTCCAGGGGTCCATCTGTGCTAATGCTTCACAATAGAGTCCCATGTTTCCCCACCGACACCCCCCCCCTCAGCCCCTCAGCTGATGGCCACTTGGTGGTGCCAACGGGGGGAGGTGGGAGGAGAGAGAGGAAGGCACTACAGGAGCTAGCTCTTGGCTCCCGCAGTCCCCAATCCACCTCCTGCCCCCCACCCAACAAGCCTGCCATCTGGACTTGTGCAATCACTGAAGAGTGGAGAAGCACCCCCTCCCAGCCACACCTCCTATAGGGCTGGGGCCCTGGGGGCCTGGGGGTGGGGAAGAGACAGACAGAGGAGCCAAGGAGACTGAGACAGACAGGTGAACAGAGATGGACAGGAGACAGAAAGCCTTTTCTGGCTCCCCAGGCCCGTGCAGCCACTTGCCCCTCTGGACTCCTCACGCCATCTGTCTAACATAGCACATGTACATGTCCCACTCCCTACCAGACCAAGCGCCTCTGTCACCCCAGTGCCTAGCCAGGACCTAGCATGGTGCAGGGCTTAAATGCAGGGAGAAGGAAGAACTGAAGGAGACAGCATCACATAGTGTTTAGATCACAGGCTCTGGAACCAGGCTGCCTGGGTTTGAATCTCAGCTCTGCCACTGAGCGGCCTAGAGCAAGTTACCTAACCTCTCTGGGCCTCAGTTTCCTCATCTGTAAGGGATGATAATAGTCCATATGTCATAGGGTTATGAGGACCAAATGAGTTAATACATGTATGTAAAAGCACACGCAGAACGGTGTGCACGGCACATGGCAAATGCTAGATAAATGTCAGCTGTAAAGGCATAACACAGGTTTGGGAAGACGGGGGTGGGGGCGTGGGGGGGTAGATGGGACCGTGCCTCCCCAGCCTCTGTTTAGTGGTCAGTGTGGGGGCATGGAGCCCCCAGCTAGCAGTGTTGACGTCCTGTGGTGGCTAGCCACTCTTTAGACGCCAGGCCTGGCCTTCCACTTCCTCCTCTCACTTCTTATTTGGGTACCACTGACGACAGAGACTTCAGCTGGGCCACCCCGCCTCTTCCATGGCCTGGCAGCCACCGTAACACAGCCCAGGGGATGGTCCCGAAAATAGGGTCAGAGAAAGGCTGAGCACCACACCCCAACCCTGAGCACCCGCTCAACTCAGTGACATCCCCCTCCTGGTGAGTCACCCCCACAGTGAGGATCTGTTTGCTGGGAAAGGAGTATCTGAGCTCTGCCATCAGGAGCTGAGGAAAGGTTTATTCCAGGAGGGACCACTCCTGATCCTCTGAGGGTACAGGCCAGAATGAAGTCTACTGCTTTCACGGTTTCCACCTCTTCCCTTTCCCCTTGACACGGAAAGTGAGGGCAGCCTCTTTCAACTCTCCTAGGGCAGCTGTGTAAAGGGGAAATCCTGGCCCCTCTCACTCCCTGGGGGCTTCTGCACTGTCAGTTCAGGGGCATCTCTTCCCTCCTTCAGGGACCTCCCCCCGCCCCCTGTCTACGCCCCTTCCGCCCCTTCCCGTGTGCACAGCCCCGCTGCCTCTCTCCCCTTGCCTCAAGTCTCCTGCAGCCCCTGATCTCGTAGAATCTTCCCCTGGGCCTCCAAATCTCCATGACCCCTCCCTGTCCCCTCACCACCAGATTCCATGAATGTCCAAAGCCATCCATCCTTAAATTTTCAAATCTCGCGCACACGCCCCTTCACAGACCCCCGCCGCCCAGGTATCACGAAGACTCCTGGCCCCGCCCCGGGATGCGCTGTCCCCGTCCCCTCCGCGGCTAGGTTCTTCCCCGGTCGAGCGCTCAGGTCCCCAAGAGTTTCCCCGTCTGGCCGGCGGCGGGCGCTGTGAGCGGGGCTCCAAGGAGCGGCCCCCCGGGGGGCGGGGCCTGCCGCGCTGGGGCGAGGCAACCGGGAGTTCCTCCCCCCCGCACCCCCCAGCCCGCCCTCCAATCCTATAAAGGGAGGCGACCCGCCGCTCGCCCGGCTGGCATCTCCGCGCCGCCGTTAGCCCCGCCGCGCGGAGCGAGCGCCGCCTCCGAGGGGCGCCGGAGCCATGACCCTCCGCCGACTCAGGAAGCTGCAGCAGAAGGAGGAGGCGGCGGCCGCCCCGGACCCCGCCGCCCGGGCTCCAGACTCGGAAGTCGCTCCCGCCGCTCCGGCCCGGACCCCGGCCTCGGGCTCCCCCGCCGCGGCCGCCAGCCCTGGGCCCCCTGGGGACGAGCTGTACGCGGCGCTGGAGGACTATCACCCTGCCGAGCTGTACCGCGCGCTCGCCGTGTCCGGGGGCACCCTGCCCCGCCGAAAGGTGCGTCCCCCACCCACCGCTTCCCGCGGCCCCCAGCTCTCGGTACCCTCGGGGTCCCTTCCTCCGGACCTGCTCAAGCCCGCAACCTCCCCTGTCTGTGCCTACTGACCCCCACAACATCCTCCTCTGGGTCCACCGAGTCCCCCACATTCTTCTCCACCCGCTGACCCCCGCGGATACGTTCAGAACCTGCTGAGTCCCCTGGGCCCCGTTCTCAGAAGGCGCAAACCCCCCCGCGGCCCGCACCTCCCCGCCGCCCCCGATCTCGGTTGCCCTCCACTCCGCGCCCCACGCGCCTCCGCCTCGTCTCGCTTCTCTCGTTCCCGACCCCCCCAGCACCCCCTCTCCTGCTCGCTCCCTCTGGCCTTCAGCCCCCCGCGCCCCGCCCCCAGCGCCCAGGGGTCTCGAGGCCCCAAGACCCCTCGCCCAGCTTTCTCCAGTTGGGGCGGGGAGGCCTAGGGCGGGGGTCTCGCCGCTGGCCGGGACAAGTTGAGGGTCCGAGAGCCCGGGTGGAGAGGGCGGACGCGGACACGCCGCGTGCCTTCCCTCGCCGAGGAAGTGCGTGCGGCGCCGCTGACTGCCAGAGCTCACCCTTCCGAGGGGACGCCCGGATGCCCGGGCTCGGGGCCCGCCGCCGTGCCGGAGTCTGAGGTGTGGGGTGCGAGGCCACCGCTCCCGGGCTTCAGCCGCGACCGGACGAGGTGGGAGGGGTCTCAGGGCGCCTGCGGGGCAGGAAGGATGCCGACCGCGCCCGCCCTCTTTCTCCCCCTCCTGCGGGCCAGAGAGGGACCCGAGCACTCAGAAGGGGGGCGCAGACCCAGGTTAAGGAGAGGGGGCTGGTGGCCTTTCCCCGCCCAGCCCCCCTTCTCCTCCCCTGGCCCCTAGCTCCCCCCCCACACAATGAACAGCTTGTTGAGAATTTGCATTTTATGAAAATCGGGTGGAAAACAAAGGGGTCTCTCTGTGCTGCCCAGTCCTTCCTCCGTGGCCGATTTGGGAACTGTCCCCACCCCTGAGGCCAATCTTTGGTTCTGGAGAAAGAGGGAGTCCTTCTCTTCCTAGCCTTGGGGCAGCCTTGGGGGGATGATTAACAAGGGCACTGACCAGAAAGGCCCTGGGCTGTTTGGGGCACAAAGGACAAGGGCTGGTCTGGGGCAGGGCTTCTTCCAAGGATCAATAATTTAGGGAGGGAGAGGGACTGCTTCTCAAGGGCCGTAAAGAGGCAGGACCTGCAGCTCTGTCACCCCCCCCAGCGCCCCCAAAAACAAGAACTCCCAGTCTCCTGCCCCCCAAAAAACAAGAACTCCCAGTCTCCTTAAGTATAGTGAGACTTAAAGACAAGTTTGAGATCTAAGATTTCGTCCCAGAAAGCAACAAAATATATGACAATGTCGAGAGCTCCAGGTGGAGCTGGGCACAGCTGGCCACCTGCAGCTGAGATCCACAGTTGGTCCCCAAAACAGCCTGTCCTGGGGGAGGAGGCTTGGATCCTGTGTTCCTTGCCTTTCCATGTTCAGGCTAGGACTGCCAGCCCTCCAGACCTGAAGGCTTGACCCCAGATCCCCCAAGCCACTGTCTGTGGCTGAGAAATTAGGAGGAGAGACCCAACTGGCTGAAGGACTCTGGAGTGCCTTGATAAGCAAGCCCAGGGGCCCCCTGCCCTTCTTTGCATAATATCTGACATGCATGTGACACCCTGCAGACATGTGCCCTGGGGTAGAGACTATTCTATCTAGAGTTCCCATCCCCTAGCCTGGGAACCAGCACAGGGCTTAGAGGTTCATGCATCTGGAACCCAGGAGGACTGTTGTGTCCCCACAGTCCCAGTCATGGGGGTAAAGCTTAGAGAGTGATGCTGATGGTGGCACTCAGCAAGCAGTTACAGCAGCACCAGAGCAGGTATGGAACTGGGACCAGACAGACATGCAACTGAAAGTGAGGTGCTGGGTCCAGGGCTGGAGTCCAGGTGAGGGACCCTCCAGAGGAGGGCTCTCAGCATCTGCTTAAGGACAGCCCACCTCTCACCTGCTCTTTCCTGACTCTCCGTCTTCCCACCCAGGGCTCAGGATTCCGCTGGAAGAATCTCAGCCAGAGTCCTGAACAGCAGCGGTGAGTCACCACCACCCAGCCCCTGCCCTGGTCCCAAAGGGTGAGGTGCTGGGGTGGGGTGGGGGCCAGCACGACACAGCATCTCAGCCCACCTAGGAGGAGTCATTCTCCCAAGGGAGCAAGGGCTCCCTTGCTAGGAGTGAGGGGCAGGTGGGGGTGTGGGCTGTGTGAAGGGGGTGGCAGAGAAAGGAGGTAGGAACTTTTGAGTCATCAGGTGCTCCTCAACCCACCCCCAGTGCCTGCCAGTTACCCATCCCTGGGGAGATCTGTATCTGGGAGGTGGAGGAGTAGGAGAAGTCTTTGGGGTCCCCTGAGCCCTCCCAGCCCCAGCAAACCCCCGAGGCCCCAGACCATAGCCAAGCTGTGTCCAGCTGCTTGAGTCTAGCTCCCCTGCCTCGAGAATCTCAGTCCTGTGCTGGTCCCCTCCTGTGGCGCCCCTCTTAGGAAGGACCTGAGATGAGGCAGAAGGAGGTGCTGACCTCAGGCCCCACTCTGCCCGTGTCCCGGCCTGATTTGGGCTTGGCTTCTAAAATGGATCAGCAGACTATGGCCTGCTGGCCTGATTGGCCTGTTCGGCCCTTGAGCTAAGAGTTGTTTTTATATTTCTCAAGGGTTGTAAAAATAAAAACAAAGAACAATGTATGACAGAGCCTGAATGGGTCCCGAAAAGAAAGCCTAAAATATTTACTCCCTGACCCTTTGCAGAAAAAGTTTGCCAACTCTTCTGGAAAACCAGAGAGCACTGGAGTAGACAGAATTTTCAGTCGCCCTGCTCCCTGCCCCAACACAGAGGGGGAAAGGCCTGCGCTCAAAGTGGGGAGGAGCTCGGCTTGGGGCCGGGAGTCGCTGCTCAGCATTTGGGGGGTTTCTGGGTCAGGCTGGGCACTGGGGGCCTGGGTCTCCAGGGCCTGTCTGAGGCTGTGAGACTTGAAGGGGCCCTTGGAGGCTGCTGTAGCTCTGCCTCTGGCTGGGCGGGAAGGAAGGGGGTGGGAGGGGGCAGAGGAAACTCTGGGCTCCCCCAGCAGGCGAAGAACTGGAGCCGTTCCAGACCATTGTGTCCAGTGGGCAGGCCTTCAGTGCGGGAAGGGGCGGCCTCCAGGCCCCCCTCCCCCCAGCCCTCACATCTGGTGGGCTGGCCCCACTGCAGCTGGGAGGAGCAGCTGTGGTCTGTGCTGTGCCTCGTGACTGGCCTCTGGGGGTGGGGCCAGCCCTCTCCCCAAGGCTGCGAGCAGAGGAGGCTCCAGGCTGGGGCTGAGTGTGTGGCCTCAGCTAGTCAGTAAGTGGTACTCTGGGCCTCCCTAGAAAGCAGATGTATGGCTGAAAAACTCAGCTTGTCCGCCCCTTTGGGCGCCAGTCATTCCCACTGCCTCCCCCACTGGAGGCTGGATTGATTCATGTGGTTCGTTGAAGCTTTCAGTTGGGTATGAGGAAGGACTTTCCAACAACCTGTGATGAGAGAGTTGTCACTGGAGACAGTGAGCCCTGCCTGGATGTTCTAGAGCCGACTCCCGCATCAGTGGAGGGCCTGCTCTGGGACCACCAAGCTCCGTTTAATCCTGATGGTCTTGATGAGCTGGCCCCTGTGTCTCCTGCAGGAAAGTGCTGACTCTGGAGAAGGAGGAGAACCAGACCTTCGGCTTTGAGATCCAGGTAGGAAAGCTGAGGGCAGAGGGAATGAGGAACTGGGAAGCCAGTCTGAGGGACGGATGGACCCTACCCCATCCCTGGGCTAAGGGTCCCCTTGTCTGTTACAGACCTATGGCCTTCACCACCGGGAGGAGCAGCGCGTGGAGATGGTGACTTTTGTCTGCCGGGTTCATGAGTCCAGCCCCGCCCAGCTGGCTGGGCTGACACCAGGTGGGCCTGAGCCCAGGACACAGGGCTCTGGGAAGGGGGTGTGACCTTACTCCCAAGCAGAGGGGGCGAGAAACCTCTTCTGAAATCAGTTCCCCTTCCTCCTATTTTGAGAAGGCCAGAAAGAAGAATGAATAGAACCCAGGCTTTGGGTCCAGGCAGACTTGCCATTTACTGTGTGATCTTGAGCAGTCCCATCTGCAAAATGGGGGCAGTCACAGTGTGGTGAGGGGCTTCGCTGGGCCCAGAGCCAGGGCCTGGTAAATGCCAGATGTTGCTGCCACTGTTCTGCCTCCTCCTGGTCATCCAGTATGGGCAGAGTTGAGGAAGGAGCAACATTCCATTAGATCTGCTTGATATTGGGGATCAGGGCCTATCTTGCCCAACCTGGCCCAACTCTGGGGTACCTGTGTTATTTCCTCTAACAAGGAAATGATGGTTCCAGTAGGAGACCCTTGGGGTTGGCCAAATCTAGAGTCCCCAGGTCCCAGGAAGGGGCAGCCTGTACGAATTGACCTCCCCAATTCTATCACCACTTCCTCCCCTAAGCCCTCACCATTCTGCCCACTTACCAGCGGCCCCTGGGAGCTAAGTGGTATATTACAACGTTGCAAAGTAGTTTCACATCCACTCTCCCTCCTGATCCCCAAGGTAGCCACAGCAGGGATCCACACCCCCTTTTTACAGACAGGAAATGAGCCCTCAGAGGTGGTGGCTTGCCCTGCGCAAAGTCAGGAGGCTCTGCAGTGGCACAGGGAATCAGAAGCTGAGGCCCCTCACACCTGGGACCAGGGCTCGTTCCCAGCTGGGGGCTGCTCACCCTGCCCCCTTCCTGTCTTGGCTGAGTCTCATGACAGCCTGTGGGCTGGACAGAAATAACCAACTCTGGGGGCAGCCCAGGGTTGCTGGGAGGGCTCAGCCTTTGAGGACAGAGCTTCCTGAGGGTGGGGTAAGGATGTGGGTGTATGAGGGCCCTGGCCCCTATGCTGGGGTGTGGGGTCTGAACAAGAACTCATGGTCTCCCCAGAACCATGAGGAGTGGGGAAAGGGAATTCAGGAGTTCTGTGGGGTGATTACCCCTCCCCTTTCTGGCTAGGGTAGGGGGCAGGAATTCTTCTGTCCTGCCCGGTGGAGCAGATGCTGACCCCTCTCTGCCTGGCAGGGGACACCATCGCCAGCGTCAACGGCCTGAACGTGGAAGGCATCCGGCATCGAGAGATCGTTGACATCATTAAGGCGTCCGGCAACGTTCTCAGGTACGTCCAGCGCCCTGCGGATTCCCGAACTCAGCCTCTCGCCATGTTTCCGCACCCCGCGGGCTCACCTTAGCCTTTGATTCTCCGACCTCAGACTGGAAACTCTGTATGGGACATCGATTCGGAAGGCGGAGCTGGAGGCTCGTCTGCAGTACCTGAAGGTAAAGCGGAGGATCACGGCTCGCCTCCACCCTCCTCTTCCCAAGCCCTTGCCCCCGCAGGCCCCACTCTCTTTTAGGGGGCCATTTATCTGCCCGAAACCCCCTTTAACCTTAAGCTTTCTTCCGCGGACTCCCTGATCCCTCAGTCTGTGCCCCTCTCCTGCTGTTCCTTGCTAGCCCCTGACAGTGGGGCGGGGGGTCTCTTGCAGCAAACCCTGTATGAGAAGTGGGGCGAATACAGGTCCCTGATGGTGCAGGAGCAGCGGCTGGTGCATGGTGAGTAGACTGGGAGTGCAAAGGGCCACCTACGCCCCTACCCATACCCCAACCGTGCTTCCCCCTCAGAACTAGTGGGTTACTTCCCCCTCCAAAGCGAAGCAAGGTTGGTGAGTACAGTACTGCCCTGGGCTGGTGCACACCCATTTTTAGTTTATTCTCACAATAGCCCTCCGAAGGTGAGTAGTAGATGGTATCACCCCCATTTTACAGATGGCAACACCAAGGCTCGGAGAACTTGTTTCCAGTCCTTTCTGTGGTGGCTCTTGTGTCATAAATGGCCTCATAAGGACTTGAGTTTATAATGCTTGTTGTACAGATGAGGGAAGGGGGCTCAGCGTTGTGACCTGCCCAGGGCCACACGGGGGGTCAGCAGCTGAGGTCTCCTACCCACGCCCTCGCTCTTCTGCCCCGCAGGCCTTGTGGTGAAGGACCCGAGCATCTACGACACGCTGGAGTCCGTGCGCTCCTGTCTCTACGGTGCGGGCCTGCTCCCCGGCTCGCTGCCCTTCGGGCCCCTGCTCGCCGCGCCCGGGGGTC